CTAAATATTTAGCTCAGACCTAAATATTTAAATTTTTAGATAAATATTTAGCTTGTTAGTTAAATATTTAACTTGCAAGTTAAATATTATTATTATTTAGTTATATTATTTAGTTCCAAGCTAAATATTTTGTTAGTAAATTAAATATTTAGTATAGAAATTAAATGTTTGGCTTAGAACTTAAATGTTTAGCTTGGAAATTAAATATTTAATTTACACCCAAATATTTAGTCCACTAACTAAATATTTAACTTTCAAGTTAAATATTTAACTTTCAAGTTAAATATTTAACTTGCAAGTTAAATATTTAGTTTCTAAACTAAATATTTAGCTTGTTAATTAAATATTTAGTTTGGAATTATGACATTTATCAATGTATGAATAACATGGTGAAAATATGACTTTGTAAAAAACTTTTTTCTTATGAAAGGCTAAATAAACCAAAATATTGCTGTTAATTTTTGAATACATTACTTTTCAAATGGCACCCCATATTTTTGTGTATAGTTGCTCTTTTTTTCTGCAGTTAAAGGTAGCAAATCAAAACGGACTCATGACTTTAAGCAAAAGAGGAGATGTGAAGTGCTCGGCAGTTCTTTAGACTGTGAAGGAAAGTTATGGATTGTGTTGTCTTCATGCTAACATACACCGTTCCCCCTGCCCTTTTGCCCCTCATCTTAGTGATGAAATGGTTCATGTCCATAGGGGGCCAGTATGATCGTCATGGCAACCTCAAACAGTGGTGGACTGAGGAGTCTTATCGCAAGTTCCAGAGGAAGGCTGAATGCATCGTCAAGCTCTACGATAACTTCACTGTGTATAACCAAAGGGTGGGCTTGCATGAGCACAGTGCACACGTCTTTAACTACACACAGAGTTTGCATAATTACACGACATATTTATTATTATACTCCATGTAAAATAAAACCTGTACCAACCAGAATAATGTGGCTTCATCCATAACTTTGGATTTTTGCACAAACACATTCTGGGTTCACAGATTTCTGAACTTTGTGGTGAATTTTTATATTTTTATATTCTATACAGTATACTAAATCTTAGACTACATGATAGAAGCAATATTCCTTTAACTTGGTTTAACGGGCCACGGTTATGGCCCATGTTCGAGGCTAGTCCTCATAGCGGTGGTCGCAGGTACGAGTCCCGGCCCCGACGACCCCCCCACAAGGTCTCCCCCTCACCCCGCCTCGCCCCCACCCTCCACAAAAAATATAGGCCACTACAGCCTCAAAAATGGAAACAAATAAAACAAAAAATAAAACCTTGATTTAACTGTGTCATAATCTTGTTAAACTACAAGTCAGATGTACGTTTCTTCTACTGTAGATTTTAATCCATCATCTCAGTTCATAAAAGGATTAATAACTTGCTGTGTAATATAAATGTTTGTTCACTTTACAAAACTGATATTTAAAAATTATATATTTTTATTATTCTTCAGATGTAAAGAAAAAATGGCTTAAAATGTGTTGTATAATTGCATATTAGTTGGTTTGCCAAGAGTAAGAGAATGAATTAATAAAAGCCTCATTCTGTAAGGTAAATATGATGGTTACACTACCACTGATAACAGAAATTCACTTTGTGCACCTTATCCTGGATTAGAACAAACTCTGAAACGACTGCAGGACGACACGTCTGTGCAAAAACTAACTTGGCACACAAACCACTGTTAACGAGCCATTCCATTGCAATCTTTAATCCGATGTAAGGATGAAAAAGTAAATCATGAAGTGGTGCTTTAGTGGTGCCTTTGCTCAGGCAAGCAGCTTGTTCCAGTCAGCTAAGGTACTTTGTCTCTCACACATTGTACATCGATTTAAGAATAAACGATACTCAAAAATATCACACGTGTTGTTTCAAAATGTTTGACTTTGCTTTGAAATTAAACATTGTACAAACGTAAAACAAATAAACTGCCAAAAAAATGACTCGTATTAAATACCAGTAAATTATTGGTATTTTATATCATAGGTCTATTGACAGATCACAAAGAGAAGTTGATGCTTTGTTTCCTAAAACTTCCATCTGTCTGTCCAGGTGAATGGCCGTCTGACACTAGGGGAGAACATAGCAGACATGGGAGGACTGAAGTTATCTTACTATGTAAGTACAAACTAATGCAGTCGTTGTTCAAATTCTTGATGCATATGAGATGGGGTAGTAGCCAGCTTGGGACCCGAAAATCCCAGGTTTGATGCCCTGCCATTCCCACATGTCAGGTGTCTCTGAGCAAGACACCTAATCCTTGAAATGCTCCCGGTCACTTACACAGCTCCACCTGGGTGCATCTCAGGTACACTGGGTTACATGCAGAGAACTACTTTCACCATATGGGAACATACAATGATGACAACACATAGCACTTTATTAATTATATATCAAGGTCAAGGTGTCTTTATTGTCATACACTTTACATGTGGTACATGAGGTGGAA